CCTGACTTCTATTTATCCCAGTGATACCTGATGTCACACCTACCAGTCAAATGTTTTAATTTTAAGGTGCCTATTTGAAATTGTGTGCTTTTCTTCAACACTTATCTTCTGAAGACCACTGCAATGGTTTCTTCATCAAACATTCAAGAAACTGATAGTATAATTCTGAGGTGCCTTTCGGATACAGATATAGGTGGGGTTATTATGGTATGTTCGCCTTGTATTCTACATTCTCACCAATTTTCTTGAGACTGAATCAGCAGGGTATGACTTGAAAGTCATAGCAAAACCACTTTTGCAAAAATTATAACTAAGAAAATTATCACAGTGAAAGAGACTGAACCTAACTGATTCCATTTTGCTTTTAACTGCCAATCTGTCCTTGTTCATTCCTGGGCATAGGCTTAACTGTAGGAGGAACTTAGTTTACGGTTTAACTTTGAAACAAAGACAATAATAGCCTGATATGATTTGGCTCTGTGTCCCTACCCAAATCTCACTTTTGAGTTGCAATAATCCCCATGTGTCAAGGGTGGGACTAGGTGGAAATAATTAAATCATGGGGGCAGTTTACCCCATGCCGTTCTCATGATATTGAGTTCTCATGAGATCTCATAGTTTTATAAGGGGATTCCTCCTTCGTCCAGCACTCACTTGCTCTCCTTCCATGAGGTGGCTTCCACCATGATTATAAGTTTCCTGAGATCCCCCCAACCATAGGGAACTGTGAGTCAATTAAAACTCTTCTATTTACAGATTACCCAGTCTTGGATATTTCTTTATAGTAGCATGAGATGGATTAATACCAATACTGAGGGAGTGGGGTGCTGATATAAGGATATCCTAAAATGTGGAAGCGACTTTGGAAGTGGTTAACAAGCAGAGGTTGGAACAATTTCAACAGTTCAGATAAAGACAGGAAAATATGAGAAAGTTTAGAATGTGCTAGAGACCTGTTGAATTGCTTTGACCAAAACACTGATAGTGACATGGACAATGAAGTACAGGCTGAGGTGGTCTCAGATGGAGATGAGGAACTTTTTGGGAACTGGAGTAACAGTCACTCTTACGTTTTAGCAAAAAGAATGGTGGCATTTTGCCCCTGCCATAGAGATCTGTGGAACTTTGAACTTGAGAAAGATAATTTATGGTATCTGGCAGAAGACATTTCTAAGTGACAAAGAGTTCAAAAGGAAGCAGAGCATAAAATTTTGGAAAATTTAAGCCTGCCGATGTGATAGAAAAGAAAAACTCATTTTTCTAGGGAGAAATTCAAGCCTGCTGCAGAAATTTGCATAAGTAATGAGAAGTCAAATGTTTATCACCAAGACCATGGGAAAAATGTCTCTAGGACATGTTAAAGACCTTCATGGCAGCCCCTCCTATCACAGGACCAGAGACATAGGATAGAAAAAAATGATTTTGTGGGCTGGGCGAAGGGCCTTCCTGCTCTGTGCAGCCTCAGGACATGGTGACCTGTGTCCCAGGTGCTTCAGTTCCAGTCATGGCTAAAAGGGCCCAACATATAGCACAGGTCATCGCTTCAGAGTGTGCAAGCCCCAAACCTTGGTGGCTTACATGTGGTGTTGGGCCTGAGGGTGCACAGAAGTCAAGAATTAAGGTTTGGGAACCTCCACCTAGATTTCTGAGTATGTATGGACATAGCTGGTTGTGCAGGAAGAAGTTTGCTGCAGGGACAGAGCCCTCATAGAGAACCTCTGCTAAGGCAGTGCAGAAGAGAAACATGGAATTGGAGCCTCCACACAGATTCTCTACTTGGGCACTGCCTAGTGGAGCTGTGAGAAGAGGGCCACCATCCTCCAGACCCCAGAATGGTAGATCCTCCAACAGCTTGTATTGTGTACCTAAAAATGCCACAGACACTCAGCTTAAGAAAGAAATGCCAGCTTAAGAAAGCAACTGATAGGGGGGCTGTATCCTGCAAAGATACAGGGGCAGAGCTGCCGAAGGCTGTTGGAGTCTACCTCTTGCATCAGCGTGACCTGAGTGTGAAATGTAGATTCAATGGAGATCTTTTTCGAACTTTAAGATTTAATGACTGCCCTACTGGATTTTGACTTGCACGGGACCTGTAACTCCTTTGTTCTGGCCAATTTCTCCCATTTGGCATGGGTGTATTTATCCAATGCCTGTATCCTGATTGTACCTAGAAAGTAACTAATTTGCTTTTGGTTTTACAAGCTCATAGGAGGATGGGACTTGCCTTGTCTTGGATGAGACTTTGGACTTGGACTTTTGGGTTAATGCTGGAATAAGTTAAGACTTTGAGAGACTGTTAGGAGGACGTGATTGTGTCTTGAAATGTGAGAAAATGAGATTTTGTAGGAGCCAGCAGTGGAATGATGTGGTTTGGTTCTGAGTTCCCACCCATATCTCTCCTAGAATTATAATAATCCCCACATGTCAAGGGTGGGACCAGGTAGAGATAATTGAATCATGTTGGTAGTTCCCCTCATGCTGTTCTCATGATAGTGAGTGAGTTCTCACAAGATCCCATGTTTTTATAATGGGGCTTCCTGTCTTTCTTGGCACTCAGTGTGTCTTCTGTAGCCCTGTGAAGAGGTGAATTATGCAACAATTGTAAGTTTTCTGAGGCCTTCCCAGCCATGCAGAACTGTGAGTCAATTAAACTTCCTTTCTTTATAAATACCCAGTCTCAGGTATTTCTTCTTATCAGTATAAGAGCAGACTAATACATAGCCCTTTCCCAAAACAATCTACCGTCTTGTCTGAGGCCTAAACTGCCTTTGCAGGACTAATGAATTAGCCACAAGATTAGAAACTATGGTTTACAAGTAACATCTCTATTGTAAAACCTAAGATCAATGCTTGAGGTATTTTGAGACCCTACACTTGATGGATCAACTGGTACCATCCAGATTGGTAAACTGGTTTATCTGGTCTTATGACCCCATCTAGAAATTAACTCAGCAAAAGAAGACAGCTTTGACACTCCCAGTGATTTTATATCAGACCCAACCTATCAGCACTTCCCATTTTCTGACCACCTACTCCCCAAATTATCCTTAAAAACCTCCATTCTATCCTGAGTTTTTGAGTTATAGTAAAGCTCTAGTCTCCTGTACAGCTGGCTCTCTGTGAATTAAACTTTTTCTCTATTGTAATTCTCCTGTCTTGATAAATTCGCTCTGTTTAGGCAGCAGAAAACAAGAACCCATTGGGAGGTTATGACAGTTTCAAATTTGGCAAAACTTCACTAATTAAGGTTGGAATAACTTAAAACTTATGACAATTTGCACGGGATCCTGGGTTGGGATTTACCTTTATAATATTAATCATGTCTTCTCACAGTGCATAAATTAATTCTGAAATTCTTTGCAAAGAGCATAAATTAACTCTGTGAAATATTGTAGGATGTTATTATTGCAGAACACATGGCTTCCGTGAATTTCAGATGCACACATGAATTAATAAACAATAAACTAACATGATCCACCTTCTATTCCATTTGGGTTATTTATTAAATAGTCTAGATTCATATTTATATATTTACATTGTCTGAATTTATTTATCCTATACTAAAAGGCATTTGAAAATAACTAGGTAGAAGGCAATTAATGGATATCAATTTGATACCCAAGGAGTCAGATTTAGGACCTTATTAACAACAGTATAATAACCAGCCATAGAATACCAAATAACATATAAATGTCTGGACATTGGCCTTCTAATCCTATTTTTTTAAGTCCCCTTAAATCCTATACTAGGAACAGAAACTTGAATTTAATTTTTTGTCACATTTTGAGCTGTCCTGACCAAAATAACTAAAAGTGGTTGCTTTACAAATATACCTTATGACTTGATTTTAAAAATAAATTCAGACTGGTTTTGTTAGAGTAGGTAGCTATACAGACATGAGCAGGGCAGAAAACTCTCCCACTCCAGGAATGTCAGGTGATCATCAGGTGATGGCCAGGCAGTCATTAAACTGTCTCCCTAAAATAATAATTGGTTGCAGCAGAGGCAAGGAAAGACAGTCTCCCAAAAGATAGAAAACAACTGAAGCTAGTGATCAGCAGCTTCCCAGCAAGAACTCGGGAGTTGGGTGAGAGGGCTCAAGCATGTACACTAAGAGGCAAAATGGTGGAGTTTAATTGATATATCACCTTCCTCTAGGAACACTCAACTGGTAAGGAAAAAATGCCTCAAATGAGCACGTGCACAACTTCAGTAAACACACTGCATATGTGGTCCCTCCCAAGTGCTGGCAGGCCACTGTGCATGTGGATAGCCCAACACCCAAAGAAAAATCAAGGGAGAAGACACGCAAACCTTGGAACCACCCCAATGTATAAAAACCCCAAGTTAAGGATCAAACAGGGCACTTGGTTTCTCAAATTGCCCACTTGGCCCTCTACCAAGTGCAGTATGCTTCCTTTCATTCCTGCTCTGAAACTTTTTAATGAACTATTACTCCTACTCCAAAACTTGCATTGGTCTCTCACTCAACCATATGTTCCTCAGTTAAATTCTTCCCTCCAAGGGAAGAGTTTCCTGCAGACCTATCATATTTACTTCTGCTAACATTATCCCCAAAACAAATTTGTTTTGGTGAAGTCTTACTAAAGTTTGCCTAAATAACATAAAAAGCAAATTATGCTATATTGTGCTAAAACTGAAATTTAAGTCATATTATAAAACAGCAATTTTAATATTTTTCAATTCATGATTACAAAACTACACTTAAACATCAGTAGAATAAATATTTAGAAGATGCTTTTAGAGGAACACTTTCACGTGATCCAACAAGTTACTTTCGCTATTATTATCAAATCACACTACAAAGATAGATATATACTGCCATATTTTCAACTGTAAATTTTGAGTCCAGCACAAAATCACCTGAAGAAATGTCAGGGAATACACATTGTATACACTGCTTAAGAATGTTCCTTATACATTTATAAAAATCATTTAAAAGGAAGAGGGAGGAAAAATCCTAAGTGCTTTTTTCATACCTGTAGTTGGGGATGAGTCCAGATCTCCACAGTTGTAGACTCTTTCATGGGGGTGCAAGATATCACGACTTCCTTCATTGGCTTTAGAAGGAAATAAAAGAGAAGTATTTTAAGCTGTTTGTTAAAAGTAAAATACACAGTACATTTCATGTAAACATTGCCTACAGGTAGCTAAAATAGTGCCTAGGTAAATTATCTCTTTTTAGACATCACAGTTTATTTATGTAACAAATGGTTATTGAGGGTTAACAATATGCCACACATAGCTCTGGGTACTAGAGTTAAAAAAGAGAGAGAGAGAAGAAAAAAGAAAGGAAATTCCTTTAAACATGTGAGTGAAATTGCAGAGAACAATTTAAATGATACCTGTAGCCCCAGTGCTTTGGGAGGCCAAGGTGGGAAGATGACTTGAGCCCTGCATTTTGGGGTCTGCACTGAGCTATGATTGTGCCACTGCACTCTAACCTGGGTAACAGAGCGAGACCTTGTCTCAATAAAATAAAATAAAGTTAAAAAATAAAATATTTAAATGGCTGACACTTAAGCTGGAAAAAAATTCTTTCCGATGATTTTAAAACCTAATGGCTTCAAGGCTATATTTGTGAATGTGCTCTTGTCTCAAATTGAAATCAATCTTGTGTGTGCCACCACAACACAAATTTGCTATTTGCCATATTTAATAGACGTGATAAATGCCAAGGGATTTAATAGATGTGATAAGTGCCAAGTGCATTGAGGACATACATCCTTAGTGCAAATGATCCTTGTCTTTTCATGAATTAACAGATGTTACCATGGATGTGCAGTTGTTACTTATGTAAGGAAGCAATACCAAGTTCGAAGTGATTGAAGAATTATCCTATATTTAGGCTATTGTGGTTAGTGCTGCAATAAACATAGAAGTGCAGGTATCTCTTTGATATTATCAATTTTCTTTTCCTTTTTTTTTTTTTTTTTGTATGTATAACCATCAGTAGGACTGCTGGATCATATGATCTATCTATTTTCAGGAAACTTCTTACTGTTTTCCATAGTGGATGTACTCACTTACATTCTCACCAACAATGTGCTAGCATTCCCCTTTGTCTACATCCTCTCCATTATCTGTTATTTTTTGTCTTTTTGTAACAGCCCTTTTAACTGGAATGAGATGCTATTTCATTTTTTTTTTTTTTTTTTTTTTGGAGATGGAGTATTGCTCTGTTGCCAGGCTGAAGTGCAGGAGCACGATCTCGGCTCACTGCAACCTCTGCCTCCCAAGTTCAAGCAATTCTCCTACCTCAGCCTCTGAGTAGCTGAGACTACAGGTGCTCACCACCATGCCAGGCTAATTTTTTTTTTTTTTTTTTTTTTTTAGTGTGGTGGTGTGATCTTGGCTCACTGAAACTTTTGCCTTCCGGGTTCAAGCAATTCTTCTGTCTCGGCCTCCAGAGTAGCTGGGACTACAGGTGCATGCCACTAGCCAGCTAATTTTGGTATTATTAATACAGACATGGTTTCACCATGTTGACCAGGATGGTCTTGATCTCTTGACCTCATGATCCACCTGCCTCGGCCCCTCAAAGTGCTGGGATTACAGGTGTGAGCCACCGCGCCTGGCTGAGGTGCTATTTCATCGTGGTTTTTATTTGAATTTCCCTGAAAATTAGTAGTGCTGAGTACTTCGGGGGTTAATAAGGGATTAATAACCAGAATATATAAGAAACTCAAACAACTCAATAGAAAAAAATTTAAAAATGGGCAAAAGATATGAACAGACATTTCATAAAATAAGACATAGAAATGGCTAAAAGGTACATTTAACTTTTTTGAAAGCTAAGTTTATTTGGGTTGTATTTCACATGCACATTTTAAGCATCTAATTTAAACATTCTCTGTCAACTATGACTAGTTCAGTGTCTGCTTGGCAGCCCTCTGTCAAATACGTAATGCTGTATTCACATGTCCATTTAATTAAGTAGGGATGCTATTTTACATGGTTAAAACCATAAGTCTATGTGGATGTATCTTGCACATTTAAATTTGGCAGCTAAACATGTCTACTGTATAACATGCTTCAGTATTCAAACATTAGAAAAAATTGTTTTGTACAAAAATTAGAACTTAAAATAATACCCCCACCCCTGCCAATATTCTATCACTCTTCCCTCTCACTCCAAAATCCCATAATTATACAACTAAAAACCAGGAAATTATCTAATTGACTAGCTCCAATATGCAGAACTGCTGAGAATTAACTGTAATGCAAGTGAGAGAAATGGCAATTGCAGGAAAACTTAGTGCTTAACTAGATTTATGCTTGACTGTTTTAAGAAAATGAAACATGGTTCATCAGTGACACCTGAGAAATAAAATGCAAATCTGCATTTCTCTTTCCTTATATGTACCACATACTGAACCAAACAATCTTTCCTTTTATGGAATTAGATGTCAGACTTTCAAAAAAAGACTAAAATGCTTTATAAGAATCAGTCTTTGTAGATTTAAGTCACTGCTCAGTGCCAAAAAGTGAGAAGTCTGTTTTTGCAATGATCTTACAGAGTCTTGAGAAGTGTCGCTGTCATTATTGCTAATAATGAAAAATACTTCTAAGAGAAGAAAGGATAGATATTGGATCTTATTATTATTCCTGAGTTAGAGATTACTTGTTAATGGTCTAGACATCGAAAGGGAAGTTGTCTTTGTTTAAAATTGCATTAACACCTTCAAGCGCAAATATTTTGTTTCACTAATAATGCTGCATAAAGAAATAGACATATGTGAGAGAAAAGGGGGAGGTTTATATTACTTCTCACCTTTTAGAATCTAGAAACTGCATAGATTAAAAATTATCTGTAATTTGCTTGAATTATTTTATTTATGGAGGAGGCAGGAAGGGGCTGGATCATAAGAAGCATGCTTAATCAAGAAAATGCTCAAAATTCTATTAATTCTAATTTTGTCAAAAAGAAAATTTTAAGGAAAATTCCATTTCACAAAAGTGAGAATTATTTCTCAAAATATACACAATAATAGAGTTTTTGTAATAAATGAAAAATGTATTTTCAGCATCCTAAAGACTCAGTCTTTTATGAAATTAGTAAGAAGCAGGTAACCTAAAAGAATAATATTCACTTGCCAAAATATATCTGTTTTGCAAAAATAGACTTATTAAGTAAGGTCATTTGATTGAACTTTCTAAATCTGGCCGGTTCTTCTTGCTGTTCTCAAATGTTTTCCTGACAGTGTCACACAGTATCTGAGCTTTACTAACTTCATGCATAAACTGCATTCCTTAACTTGACTAATTAGAAACCTACTAGGAGAAGTAAACCTTGACTGGTTTTGTAATTTTTTTTTTTTTTTTTTTTTTGAGACAAGGTCTCACTCTGTCACCCAGGCTGGAGTGCAGTGACACAATCTTGGCTCACTGCAGCCTCAACCTCCCAGGAGCAAGTGATTTTCCCACCTCAGCCTCCTGAGTAGCTGTGACTACAGGCGCATGTCACCATGCCTGGCTAATTTTTGTAATTTTCTGTAGAGACAGTGTTTCATCATGTTGGCCAGGCTGATCTCAAACTCCTGAACTCAAGTGATCTGTATTTGCCATGGCCTCTGAAAGTGCTGAGATTACAGGCGTGAGCCATCTCACCTGGCCCCTGGTTTTGTGATTGTTTTCAGGAGAAATGTGGAATGCATCCTTTCTTCTTGCAATTAGAAATTTTATTGCAACTCAAACCTAATGGTAAGAAAATCATTCTTACAATAAGGTCATGCTATTTCTGAATACAGTCTCACCATTATTGTTTCAAAATCTAGCAAAAAAAGAATCCACAGAAGGATGGGTACATTCAGCAATTACATTTCTTTCTCAAATGCAGTAGCTCTTCTACTAGAAATGTAAGTATGCTATAATTTTCTGGGTAATCAAACCCACCACAGAAATCTCAGGATTTAAAAATATGTGACATTATAAATTGTCATAGTCATCACTTTATTTTAGCTACCAAATACTACAAGTGGGTATAACTGAAACATTATTGTTATCTTATTGCCATATAGTGGACATGTTGACAGGGCAAAAAAGGTCTTCTCAAACATGCATATGATATATTTTTTGGAGAGTCTTATGTAACGTCTAGCATGATGATATGTGCCTAAAGACATGTGTGTATGTGGGTGATGCTTTTAGTGATTACATTTATAAAAACGTTTCTTCATTCTTATTTCCTTATAAGAAATTATGATCCTTACTGTGGAAATAACATTCATCAAAACTATGGCAATGTTTACAAATATTAAGTGTAACTTGATGCTTATTTTTCTCAGGACATATAGGGAAGAATGATTTTCATTCAAAGCATTGACACAATAACAACTTTTAATTTTTATAATGTTACAGGACACAGTTTCTAATTGTAGTGAATATACTCCAGAGGTTTCCTGAGTAGTAGAAACCCTCAGTTAAGTACCACTCTCTTTAATGTTTCATTTCTCCTGATGTGCCTTTCTGTCTTATATTTGTTAGAGGTGTTGAGATGTATTCTACAGGCAATATTTAAGGAAGAAAACATAGATATTTAAAAGAGACTAAAATCGACTCAAGAGGATGGTGCAACAGTGGAAAGGATAGAGCCTTTGGAATCTACATCTGTGCTACAGTCTACTAGTTTTATGAACTTTGTCAAGTTACTTAATATGACTTTCAGCTTCATCATCTGTGAAACAAGTATAATAACATGAGCCTCATAACATCCTTGTATGCCACTGAGCTGTAATAAAATGCTTGGAATTTTATAATTGTCCTCTTGGCTTGCACTATTGTGGCTTTATCTTCTCTAACAACATGAAGCAGAAGCCATTCACCATGTGATTCATTCTTTCTCTCTCTCATTCTTTCTCCACCTCTCTCTCCCTTTATCTGCTTTCTAAGTGAAGCTATCACTTTAACATAAGAGAAAGGCCCTGAGCAGCCCTGCCAGTGATAGAGAATGCTGGCCTCACAATCTATTCTCATTCACAAATGACCCTAAATTCTCATCAGTAAGGTAGTATGAAGGACATAATTTTTTTTGAAACTAGAAATTCCAGTTACTTCAAGG